TGACGTCAGCACATGGTGAATATGAGTGAATAATACAGATTTTGCGAAATATTTGAAATAGCTTAGATTTCTTCGGATTTTAATGAAATAAATGAGATAGAAATAAGTTTTGCGAATAAAAATGGCGTGATATTCCCCTAGTTTTTTTCGTTGTTGCAAGTACGCATATCTCCCATGGATTCAAGGAATGAGTTTTATTTTTTCTAATTCATAGAATATCACATTGTTAATTTCACTGAAGGATGATAAACGCGTGAGTATTTTTAGTTTTTTTTTTTTTTAATTGAAGTCTTTTCATTCAAGTTGAATGGTTCAACCTAATTTGAATGCACCCGAACTGTATCAAACAAAACGGAACAATTTTACTGGCTTTCCATCGGTTGGCATTGCTTACTTAGCACATTGTACAGATTGTAAAACGAAGCCTCGTTGCACACACGTTGTCAATTAAAAACGGCTCATTCTCACTTTATTTCCATTTGAATGGAAACAACATCCATTTTTGTAGCTTCGATTCCGTACATGGTGTGGTGCTCACATTAAATTTACTTTCTTCAGTTTTCACGAGCGACGGTCCGTTCGTTCGTTGTGCAGCGATATTCCAATGCACTGCCATTTGAGACATTGGTGATGAAGCTGCCAATGCATTTTCGATATTCGGGACTGCCGTTAAACAATTGTTCGAGCCACGCTGAATAATGTGTTGCGTTTTGAAATCATACGACCAAAGCTGTCGTTGTGTGTCAGCACAATTCACGATACGTGCCAACGATGCATTTTTATTGGCAGCGAATGTGTTCAATGCATCCAAACAAATGCCTTCGTTAGCCATTATCTATTTATATTGAATCGAGAAAAAAAAATAGTGTGTATAATAGTAAAACTCTTCATTCATGTAATGTTTTTTTTTCGTCACGCATTTTCAACGTGATGACATGGTATTATTATCAATAGCGTTTGATTACTTTTTAAACTTGCAAACTTACATGTCCATCTTCTCGAATGACAAACATCCCATCCATGTACGTTTTGTTGTTGCATTCGCCAAGCCAGGCCATTCCATACGGCAATGCTTTTGGGGAAATTTGATTCTGTGGTTGCTTCAAACAAAATACCGGCAAATGAACTAGTAACTTTTCAAACTGTGGAATGTGCGAGTTCAGAAAATTCGCCACATATGTCCAATTTGACGTCATTGTGGGATCAACTACTTTGATAATATCCAAATAGCTTTTAAACAACTTTGAATTTTCTTGAATGAGCAATATTTTGCCAAAGAATCGTTTCGAACTTGGAAAGAAGTTATCGGGCCACACATTTTCCAAATACCATTCAAACGATTTACACTGCAGTTCTCGTCGAAGCAATTGTCGCTCACTCACATCCAATGAATCGATCAATTGTTTAGGTATTTTGTAGTATTTGAAGAAGAATTCTTTCCAATCGTCAAGCCAAACCAGTGCTGTTCTTGCCAGATTCTCGTTCAAAACCTACATTGAAATTTAAATTGAATTGAATCGAATTATATATTGAAATTATGAATTTTTTGACATACTTCCCCGACGCCACCAGGAAATGTGTACGGACTGCTCTTTCGAAATAGATGGCCAACGTGTGAACATGGCGCAATCTCAATGCGGCCTCCACATTGCCAAATTCGAAACGACATTTCGAGGTTCTCTCCTCCCCATATTTTCATATTTCGATCATAAGACCCGATTTCGAAAAAATACTGTCGATCAATGGAAAATAGACCACCCGCCATTGCAGGCGACGGAAATGGATGGGTCACATCAGCGTTCCTATTCTTCAGCTCACTTGCACTCAAGAGGTACCATCTAATGAAGTAGACAAATGGGAAATTTACATTGTATTGCAAATTCAACTTCAGTGTGTTTTAAAGGAAAATCTCGCACCTAAAATGCAATTGCCAATTGAAAGCACCCCAATGAAGTTCAAAACTTTTGAGATATCCAAAATTATCATCCGAAATAATATCAATCACCGGGCAAATTACATTCTTTCGATTCTCTTTGACACGGGCCAAGAGCGGTTCCAAATATCCAATCGATGCTTCGCAATGTGCGTCTAAGAAAGTTAACACTTCTCCACTGGCATTGTTCGCACCAAGAAGTCTTGCTGCAATTATTCCCTCTCGTTTGTGTAGTCGTAAGACTCTGGTCTGTACAGGTAATGTAGCCACGTAATCATCAAGCTGCTTCTTTAGGAACTCTACAGTCAGAATAAGAAAAACATGTTAGAGATTTTTTTTTTAAATTCTTCATTTGAAGATATCCGAACATACTTCTTGTTGATGCATCATCGACGAGAAGGATTTCTTTGAGCAAATGCTTTGGTGAGCGGTTGATGACACTCCAAACGGTTCGCAGAAGCACAGACCAAGCTTCATTATGAAATACAATGATAATGGACGTGGTTGGAAGATTTGTGTCATACTTCATGGTGATGCATCTGTTCAAAAGGAGAAAAAGTGGATATGATTAATACCGTTCCCAGATTCACCGGCACATCGACTGCGAACACCACTGATTATGCTAATCAGCCGGGTTAATGATTACTACAACTCACTTTTTCTTCCGAACATCGGGAAGTGTTCTATTCAAGGGAATCCTGTCACTGGCCAGCAGATTGAATCGGTTTATTGAAAATTGCTGCTGCATTATGAGCAACTCTCTCGCTGGAATGACAACCGGTTTGCCATTTTCGCCTTCACCCTCAACGGGTGCAAAGTCGTTTTTATCCAGGAAATCTAAAATTTAACGAAAATATTAGATTTACTTGTGAACTGGGTAATAGATATGGTGCAAATACATACTTCAACATTAAGATGAAACCCATCACCACTCACTTATGTTAAATCTAGAGATGGTTCATAATAATTTACAGTTTGGTTAGCCACCACCGTATTTAAAGTTAACACAAATAAAATGAATTGGAGGAGCTAATAAAACTCGAAATACCTGGTGAAATTTGACCAATAAGGTTTCCAGTGCCGATGTATTGTGCTACGATCACATTGGGATTTCGATGTCTTTCTTTATTATGCTTATTTAAATAATCGGCCCTAAAAATGAATGAAAGAGAAATCTCAGCATAATTGCAATTGAAGGCTCTGCCATGAACTCACCTAGAGTGTTCGAAAATTCGATTTATCAACTGAAGACTTATTACATAGAATAAAAAGAAACTTGCTACAAATATCACAGCCAATACCAAGTATTTCGTGTGAAATCGGCCATAACGAAGCCACATTTTGCTATTTAATTTTGTGTCAACCAAAAGAACTGGTTCTATAATTTAATTTATCAAGTCGTTTCGAATTTTCTACACGAAACAAAATATAATAATAATAATAAAGCACCATGAATTTATCTAGTTTCAAAAAACATGTCTAATCCACTGCTGTGATCTGTCATTAGAATAATTAAATTATTGAAAATTAATTCGATTGAAAGTAATGCAATTTAATTGAAGAATCGCTTTACACTGTTGACTTTGACAGCTCAGGTATTTGAGCGAAGTGCTGAAGAGCGACATTGGTGCAGACGAGAAAGAGAACGAAATAGAGATTTGACGTTTGAAATTCCCCTCCACGCAACCTTAGTACAAGCAGAAAAGAGACAACCGTATCAACGTAGACGGCTCTCTCACCACAGCGGTGACTCTATTTATACAAAGAATGTAAACAGAGCTCAATACTCGCGAAGAGAGAATAGCGCGAAGAGAGAATAGCAACCAGGGTTGGATAATTCACAAGTGATGTGTACTTGAGTGAAATTCCCACTGAATCGAGTGAGAGCCAGATTTGTTGTTTCATGGAAAATCTGCAGAAATATGAATGAAAATGAAGAGAGAGCGAACGAAAGTGAGAAATACATAAGAGAAATCTATTATGCGGAAAAACTCATACCATTTTGAATGGCTAGGATAACCTTGACTTATATTTTCGTCAGTTTGTGTCGATATTCCTGGAAACGAGCACATCGTTCAATCGAACAGTCTGAGATAGAATTCCAAGTAATATTTTACACCAATGCGCGCTTGATTCGCTCTAAAAGACACATTCAATTTAGGTTTTGTTGTCATACTGAACAAAACACAAAATAATGTCCAGCAATAATAATTCAAGGATGTTATGCGGCGTCCAATCGAGCCCAATCGATCGACTATATATTATTTTCGGAATCGTCTAATTCAAGCGCACTTTCGTTTAAGAGTTATTAATTGAATTATTTGACGCGCAATATGTTAGCAATTCGATGGAATAGAAACATCGATTCAATTAAAATTGTCAGTTTTGCGGCTTCGATTGAGCATTTGGCCAAATAAATATCCTCGTTGCGACCTACACACGGTGTCAATATTTGAATTATACTTTGTAATGCACACATGAAACCGTTCGCCCGAGCTCAGCTATTTTTCTGTGCAGCCTTGCACACCACCAAATATGAATGTTCCACCTAATAAATATTATTGACATAAATCCATTGATATAAATGTATTTGCACCGAATCTCCCATTACTGCGGGGAGCCCTACATCAATTATTGCATCGAAATGAATAATAGGTTGGCGTTCGACTACTTATTATTATAAATTCGAAAGAATTTTTTTAATGCAATATTCTCTCAGCTACTTATCTGATCAGACATAATGTTTTATTAATTGTATGGATGAAAATGTTAATTTGCTGAATGCAACGCAGTTTGATCATCAATTGGGTTGCGGTTTTGAATGGAAAAAAAATCGTGGGATATTCTAGGCAATAATCGATTCGAGTGAACAGACCCGGAAATTCTTTGAATTCTGAAAAAAATGGTTTCGCTGTAATTAAATTTCAGATGGTTTAGGTGTTGCTGTAGTTGAGTCAATTAATAATTGATGCATAATATATGAAACCCAACTCATTTACAGCTCAAATGTTTGTTCCCGAAATTTCCGTCGAAAATGCATGAAATTGTATCGAGTATAACGCGGCATCGCCAAATTGGTTCGATGACATTGAGTCGAAAATGACTTGAGAGCTATTGAAGCCGATTCATTTGCATGGACGAATTGCAGAACAAATGGTGGAAACAGTTTTTAGAAGTCATGGTTTTTTTTCGCTATTTTTCTATTTTGAATAAATTTTGCGCATGATTGACGTCACTGATTCATATATCTGTTGTGTGTGTGTGTGTGTCTCAATCATCGATGTTCGCACAGATTTAAACACAATGGTAAATTGGATCTGTCTGCAAAACATGCGAACAAATAAAACCGAAATGACTATTGATTTCTTGTGTTTTACTTTTTCAACAACAGCAGAGCAAAAAGTGCGATAACGAGCATGAAAAATTGATGAGATTGATACAATGTACTTGAAGCATAACTGTGAAAATATCATAAGCTCTGTCGAAAATACATCTGTGCGATGAAGAGAAACATAAGAGAAAACACACAGATATTTGACAATCATTTCCAGCAAGACAAGAGAGTCGGTAACAAGTTCTATCTCGTGAGTGAAATTATGATACACACACGGAAAATCGGATCTAGCTAACGGCAAGAAATTCATTTTGTACACCCACATTAGCATGTATCAAAAGGACATGGTTTAGTGCTTTGCATTATATATGATTTCTGTGACTTTACTCCTCTTTTCGTTGAATCATTAATGAATTACAGACAGACAGCGGTAGCAGCAGCATCGGAATATCTTACAGCGGAAGAGAGTGGAAATAAAACACCATTGGCCGATGGCAAATCAGACATTTACACAAAAATGCGAGTCAAACGAGAGCGCGAAAAAAAACGAAGCAATAAGGTTGTGAAGTTATTTTTTTTCTGTTTCATTCCGACAAAATTTCAAACAAACAGATAGAGTGAAGTCGAGATTTTCATGTGGCAAACGTTTAAATTTGAGAAAGGTTGGTTTGTGCGAAATTCACTAAATCTACCATCGCACAAAAAAAGGCGAATACGCATTAATAAAGATAATAATAAATGAATGCGGTTAGTCATGACAAACGCGCGCACGGCGTTGAGAAAATCGTTGTCGTTCACTTTGGCGCGAGCATGACACAATGAAGACGTGCGCTACGAAACGTATTTTTGTGTTTGCGTAGGTCTAGGTTTTTGATGGAATGAATGAATGCGGCATCATATATGTACCGAATACGGAGCCAGCACCGAGGAGGAAGAAAGAGAGAGTGAGAGTGCTCGCGCGTGCGACACACAGCGTTAATACTATATTTACGTTTGTCGCTTAGAATTCGCAAATGGATGTGAGCAAGATACAAAAACGCTAGAATCAAGCTCATGCACGTATACAGCACGTATATCAACATCGACACACTGTATGTTGATGCCGAACTCAGCCAGTACACAACTGTTGTGATTCAGTCGTTGTTTGCGCGCCGTTGTGGTAAGATGCACTGTTACTAGTTTGTTTTTGAAATTTTTATACACATCACACATTTGCTACTCAATAAAACGAAAAGAAAAAAGTCCTCGGTGAAATATATAGCATCTCTTATAAATTCTTTTCTATTGCGTTGTTTCGATAAAGTGTTGTTTTTTTTTAATTTGCCAGGTTTAAATATAACTAACTAAATAAATTTTTTTCCTGTATCATGTAAAAGTAGTAAATGTATGGTAGGCAGCATTTAGAAATGAGTTTTCTTTCGATGGTCCTACACTTGCCACAAAATAAGTATTTTCCATGATATCACTGGGTTGAGTATAATAAAATTATTGTTTGGGTTTCAGTCGATGAGATATTATAGAACGTGTGTATATAATATGTGGATAATCGGATGCGTTAGTGTCAGATGAAACGACCGGCCAGCGATATAAACTTATCAATTATTCCGTTTCATTCATAAAGTTTTGTTTTGTTGTGCCAGAAAAGAGACGTCACATAATTCGGTGAATTCGGGTTTATCAATTTACAATTATGGTTTCGTGGACTTTTATTCAATTTCGGGATTGAATTAAATAGATCACATTCGGTGTGTGAGTGTGTTTAGAAAAGCTCAAATAGATTTGAGGACAGTCTAGCCTAATAGTTATACGAAAGTGTAAGCCATACCGCACGACCGCACGAGCGTCACCTTATGATTTAGCATTGAGAAGTTGTTATTTGAGTGGCCATAGTCGTTGTGCCTGAATCTCACAGAAGTTTTCTAAATGACTCATCTACATTGGAATTTGTCTTTTTTCTCCCTTGTTTGTTTATTTAGAATTTTACACCGTTGAATTACGTTCATCGTCAAGCATCATAGATACGGTGAAGCAGTCGTAAATAAATCCTGAGTGTAAATTAGTCGAGCTACGTTGTTTTTTTTTTCATTCTTAATTCTCTCAGTCAGTTCAATTTCCGTCGTTGATTCGCATTCGATCTGCTGGCGTACAAACTATATCGTAGCAGACTTACGATTCAATAAATGGCATAGAATTAGTGATTAAAGAGTGATTAAAATTGTCAGTGATATTTAAAACGAAATACAAACACTTCGCTTTTTTTTGTAAATTAAAATTTATAGTGAAAATTTAACAAGATGTCCTGGAGATATACGGTAAGTTGATGAATATTTCCTTTTGTCATTCCTTGTCACATTTACATGAAGATTTTTTTTAGTTGGAAAATAGCAAATTTGCTACATTCATTTATAAATCGTCCTATCTCTATACGTGAACCAATCACCGATAAAACGTTAAACTTAAGCTCGCACGCCAACATGAGATCAAAATCCAACCAAATCACTCAAATTAATGTTGCATCCAAAACTAATCGTATTGTAGTACACAATGGCGTTTTAGTGGCTCCAGGGAAACTAAAGCGAATCGAAACTCAAGTAACGGAAACATATGACGACACGTGAAGTTTTAATGCTTTTGATAGCAGAAAAAGGCGATGTCGTCCCCTCTCACAAGATAACAAACACGCAGCTAACTCAGGCTTAAATCATACATGAATGAAACGTGCGGGAAAAGTGACAACGAAATGCTCGAAATGAGATTACGGAAAAGCAAACTAATTTGCCTATCACTCTTTATCTATTGTATTTGCCGGTACGGACTTTTGCGCCAGGTTTTTTCTGTTTCTTGAAAAGTGTTTTTAGAAATTTCCACGAAAATTTATTGCTTCACACTCACCGACAGCAAACCTTAAAGCAAATGGAGACAGTATCGTATCCGAATTCCAGTTGAATGTCAAACAAAGTTATTTGTAGTGAAATTAAAATTTACCCAACTTTTCAATCGCAACTGAGAGCGCTACAAGGTGGAAAAGAAAATTGACTTTTTCACTCATTGTTCTGGATTGTTATGTCTTCGTTTCGGTTCGTGACTTTCTAAACAACGACGCACATCTGACGTTTTCTCTTTCCTTTTATGCTTTTTTTGTTGTTGAATTTAGAAGTGAATTTGACGAAAGGAAGAACGTAGTGTATCAACGGTGTTGCATACGAAATGCGACTTACACGAAATGAATTCACGATGAATTAATCGGAACGCGCCATCAGTGTTCCAAAAGCGATTGAACTTTTGTAATAAAAAGAAGGGATATGTTCATGTATTATAGACTGACTGGCACCTGCTTTTAATTCGTTCATACCAAAGCAGATTATTTCATCGTGGAACGAGAGAATATGCAGAGAATTATGTGTTGTCGAATGGAATGTTTGATAAGCGATTAGTTTGTTTTTCTGCTATAAATGTATATATGTATGAATATTTTGCACTATTCATATTCCCTTTTTATATATTTGAAGATAAAAAATCATATTCCAAACGACCTGAACATGAAAAGCATCTATTCGATATTATAATGGTGTAGCGTGTAGTACGGTATATACGCGTTATATCGACTTTGTGGCAATCTCGTTTACAAACGTGAACATGCATATTGAAAGGCTGAATAAAGTGGCACACATCGGAGCGCCTCACACACCCTTGCCAAATGCACTGATTTCCGTTTGCCTACACACGTCTTTTTGCATTGGTTCGAACTGCTGAAGCTTTGTGCAATGGCTCGAAATTCACCATATGCCGGGATAAAATTCTCCATAAAATAGTCGATCACACGTATGTTCATGTGGCGCTATTTATTTCTGCTTAAATAGATACTGCCGCAAAGCCTGTCCATAATCTTCAAACAATGTAATGCTTTTTTTCTTATCCAGAAAGAGTAATATTAAAAACATGATCAGTAAATCTATGGAATTCTCGTATTTAATGGAGAAAAACACACACAGTTGATGCAAATAGAAAAGGTTTTGTTACCTCCTCTTCAGCAGCCCACATCACAATCCCAAATGGACGCAATATAATGTAGTTTCCATTGACTTTTGATTACATTAACCAAAGCTATTTATATATTTTCATAAATTTTGCGTTATTTTATGCAAAAGCTCTTTGGGCACGATGAACATTTTATTTTGCGTATTTATTCCCGTCAACAAATAGCTTTTAATTTGATGAAATTGCTGCCCACATACCAAAATAAGATGGAAAATATTTTTTACTGTCTCGTTTAAAATGAGTGCTTTAGACCATTTCAGTTGGAAACAGAGACTCTTGTCAACATCCACAGCATCAAATGCAGTGCTATATTCACTCGCCACGTGTTAGAAGACATCTTTTTCAAATGTTCAAACCTGACACAAACGAAAAAGCGACCGAAAAAAAATAGAACAAACAAAATAAAATTCCTTTTCACAAAAAGTGGAACATCTTGAATGTGCGCTGCATTAACCCAAACGTGTGAAATGTAGGTTTTTGTAGGATGCACGTCGAGAGCTCTTCAAAATGAACAATTTTATTTTCTCTATAGAAAAAAGGAAATGGTTTTCACTTTTCCCTATGGGAGGATAGGACACACGGCAGCGTCACATTTACTCATGAAGAAATATTTTTCTCGACATTTACGATTCCATTGAAGTTGGCAAATAATAGCTTCGAACCTTTACACTATGATTAGATTTTCAATTCTGAATCAACAATTTATTTTTGTTGCGGGTCATGTGACCTGCACATAGTTTCGATGCATTTTACAAATCAATTAATCGTATGCACAAAAACGGCACGTTTCTATTGTCATAATGAATATTTGAATAAAATGTTGCTTGTGTAAATATGTGTTTACATCTCAAATGGAAACTATCAATTTTGCGAACGGAAAATGAACAAATCAAAGCACTCTGTTTATTTTCCGAGAATTGTGTTTATGCACTTAGTTTTGCACCACCATGCAAAAAATAACTCTCTGACATTTGCATGCTCTTTCAACGTTCACTTCGTTGTAAAGTGTATACTGTACCGTTCCGTCCAATGAAAAATTTACTAGCTTAAAATAGATTTTAGTTTATTTGATCATGGCCTTAAAAGCATTAGCCTGTTCATTAGTTTCGAATCAATCGGATGCACCGATACATTGAATCAAAGTGAAGTGGTTTGGATCATCGGCGTGGGATCTATCGAATGAGCACATGTTTTTTTTTGTGAAAAGTCCAATTTGATTTATGGAACAAATTAAATTTGGAATTATTTCCGGTATCTGCACTTGAGTAACAGTGTGCCAGCCGTTAGCTCGAAATGATTGAAAGGAAGTGGAGTTTTTTTTTCCGAGAACCTTTGACATTGATGTACATGTAGCTATTAACTGTGCGTGTCTTTTCGTAAATACGTCGAGGGAAAAAATGAAGTTAAAATTACCTTGAATTTCCATTGAACTGTGCCTTCGGTACTGTTACGCGATACGCAGCGCACACACATTCGCGATGAATAAGTTTTATGAGCTTTTTAATTTCATTTTCACCGCGATAGAAACAAGCAGTGACACAGCGTACACGCTGCGATCTCGAAATTGAATAAATGAAATTGGTTCGCAGTATTTTCACTCCATGGTTTATGGCATAGACCCTATGCATTGATCTCATATATGTACATATTATCTACTAGCGCAACTACCTATGAATGTACTTGGGATCGCAAGTGTACCATCATTTCACTTCGGAATATATACGCAATCACGGTCTAACGTTTCAACGTTGAAGGTTCAAAGTACAAATTGCATTGAGTCATATACTCCACGTATCTAGCTGTGTACAATGGATTGGACTAAATGGTTTCGCGTGATGAATAATAAATGATAGGTAAATCATTGAGGTATTAGGTGGATAGTGTTGTCGGAATTTAATATAAACTTTGACTCGGTTTCATCTATTCTTAATGCCATAGCCAAGCATGCGTTAAAGCGTGTTTCAAGACCATGCAATCGAGATATTGCAATATGCGATTTCCTTTTGAACTGAATCAATATTTACATTGGCAAACTTTTGGCACTGTGCTAGCACCGCTTGTACGATGAAACTTACAAAATATACAAAGTCATTAATTCATTCGACGCTCTAAATAGAAAATCCCAACGACTTTTTCCCTTATATCTTCACCTCCCTCTCTTTCTCTCTTGTGAGCGTATATACAGTGAGTATATATACAGTAACTAAAGCCATAGTTTGAGTAAAGTTTCGCTTATTCATTAATTCTGGCAGTGAAAAATGAATCGTTCGGTGAATTTGATCAAGTTGCCAGTTTCAACTCGGGTACAACGAACTGTCTTCGATAAAATGATAAAGCAAATCTATTACTCGTTGGATTTGCACACAATAAACTTTGCTAAACAATCGCGAGTCATGCATTCCAGTATTGTTCCTATTCATAGTGCCATCCGATTGCCTCCATTGAAACATACATCCGTTCAGCCAGACTAGCGCCAAACTATTAATGCAAACTATCGTCGAAAATAACATTGCAATGTGAAAATATCACGCAACCATTTTCGTTGGAAATAAACCATAAAACGAAATTGTCCCAAAAATTTTCGGTAATCAATTCATTTCAATTTAACGAAAAGAATTTATGAGAGACCAACTGATTGACACCATGCAACAGAATACTCTATATGACAAATGGATAAATTTTCGATTTTCTGTCGCAATTCATATATGAAATAAATTTGCTTAAAGTCTGACATGTTCGTGGCTCATTCAAATGAAATAATGATAATAAAAAAGCAGCAGCAACTAAAACGATCGGTCTGAAAGCGACAATATTGCAAGCAAACCGACTATAATGGATGCATTAAGTATACATACGTATATCATTCGAGAACAATGGCAATACACGCCGTGTATTACACGGTGAATTGCAAATTGTGAAGCATATAAACGGGAAACAATAAATAGACCAAACCGAATACAATACAAAGATGTGTCATCAGACCGTAGTTAAAAAAATCGACAAACACACACACATATATATATCAATGAAGATTGAATTTAAATTACCGCCAACGAGAGGACGACATAGTGCACATGTGCCAGTGATTTGTCATGCATACACCCATCGGATCACTTATTAGTCACAGTCACCATATGTACAGCTATTTGAACAAAAGCCACGATTTTGCATACAAATTCAATGCATAGCACTCGGGAACAAGCTTAGCGTCCGTTTTGTTTACGAGGATTACTGCCAGATAATTAACACTTGTTTTCAATTATTTTTATTCCTCTTATTTTTGCCATTGTTTGTAATAGATGCAAATCTGTCAGTTTTGACTGATGTTAATACCGAAAAAATGGGCAAAAAATTTCTTCTTTCTTTACTTATAAACAAATTATCGTTACAAAATGCAATTGAATCTCGTGATATCAATCATACGATGCGAAAGTTGTCAAATTTGATTAAAAAAAACATCTCCCACAATGGTATGCGCACTGCGCAGCTAATCACTCACTTTACAATTGCATCATTCGTTGTAACGAATTTGCAAACATCAGTGGAAATTCATTCAATTCTTGTGTAAATATTCTTGAATATTTAGCGTTCCTTTTGGCGTTGCATTTCAAATTGATATGCATTCAATTAGCAAGTGCATTGTGCAACGTGTAACGAATTGCATTCGAAGAAAAGAACATTATCATTCTTACCGAGAAATTGAATCTGGCTCATTGAGCTCAATCCAGTGGTTGAAAATTAAGCGATTTAAAAATGTTGAATTATTTCATTGTTCTTCCACGTGTTGAAACGACGATCATGTTCTCGATTAAAATTTCAATTATTAAAACGTGTTCGGTACGCTTGATCTGGAAGCAGCGCCGATTGAAGCGTGGGAAATGTGCACAAAATCACTTTATGTGTATGTTATATGTTGTTATTGTGCACACGAGATAATATCGCGATATTTTTACTCGATGTTGATCGCAGCCGAACAGACACAAGCACGACGCGCGCCCGAGCTATGATTGGCAATTATGAATGGAAACGTGAAATGAAATGCGATACAAGCGATAATCATTCAAGCAATTTAAGGTCCGTAGGCGTAAATAATTTATTGACGTTATTGAATCCGAACGTTAGAGATATCGACCGCGTTCTCTATTGTCATTTAGCTGTCATTTAAGTGACTTAGACCTAATTTTCTGCATAATGATTACCAAGTTCAAAGCAAAACCATAAACACAACGAATTTGATGATTAAAATGTCGCCCGGGCGACTCACACACACGAAAACTAAATTATAAGAAACGACATGTCTCCCGGAGAAACAATGGATTTTTATGGCATTTTAATTATGGGATTTTGGATGATTTTGTTCCACAGATAAATTCTCAATTGGAATCCAAAAAAAAAAAAACAACAACAAACAAACGAAATTTGTCATTCGTAATTTTCATGTCTTCGAATACGTTTTCGGTATCGATTACAGTTTCGAGACACAAAAATAGTCTCCTCTGTTTTCATTTCGTTTTTTAACGTTGTTCATTCAATAGAAAATGTAGTTTATTGTATATTGTGTTTGTTATTAAATGAGCTTCGCGTGTGTATCGCTTGAACAGTATTGCGTTTTAATTTTCGATTTCGAACGAACAAACGATTTGAACACAGACGCTATTTCCTACGAATAGATAATTATTGTGACCTTGAACATGTTTGTCGATTCAAAACATCTGAAACCTGTAAGATGTAGTGAGCGCACGGGTTATGGGTTAACCCAACCCAATCGCATTTGTATCAACACGTTCACGATTGTACTCATGGTAAACGAATGAAATGCAACAAAAAATGACAATATACACAAAATTGAATTTACTTAATTTAGACAAAATTCGATAAAAACATGAGAGTTAGGCGACGACGATACAATCAAACATTCAATATTTAGATTAACCAAATGAGTCAACAATGAAAATGAGATAGGAATCGCGACCAATTAACGCTTTCAACTCAAATTAGAGCATATTGTTTGTTTTCACAATGAAACCGTGACTGTAAGAAACAATTTGTACGTAGAAAATGTTCAGCAATGCAGTTAAGTAATTTTGACATAAAAATGTTCGGTTTCAATACGTGCACGTTGCTAGTTCATTGAACGAAGGAAATCAACAACACAAATCGTTTTGACTTCATTGAATATATGGAATTTTCGTATATAAGCGCTGAAACAGTTCATTATCCACATTACAAAATGATAAAACTGAGATTTTTCGGGTGGGCATTGTCATATACCTCATCGACATATTCAATCGGAACATTGTACCAGCAACAGAACACATCATCCGTTTCGCATTGAAAAAAAACAGAAAATCTAAATTTAACCTGACATTGGCTCGAGATCGTTAGCTATGGCTCGAGAGTAGTGAGCGCAATAATATGTATCTGTGAGACCGAATGACATTTTATATAAATAAATCCGCCGGGAATCAGAAATAAATTGTAAATAAATTAGCAACGAGCGTAGAAAGTATGTTGTTTCAATGTGATCATCGCATTGGAATCGGCGTTGTCGCTGTCGCATCGCAGTGTGAAATGAAGTTTACCGAAACGGACGGACGCTACACTTGACTTTATCCGATTTGTGTGGACGTGTGTGTGTGTGTCTACCGTCGAGCTTCACTTTTTCTATGAAAATCACGGTTACATATGGCTTAGATTCAGTGACGATGAAATGCCTCGCTTATTTATATCGCCAAAGCGTGAAATCCGTTTGCACAAAGTGAACCATACATTCCTGAATGTTCTTCTATTTGCACTCATTTATACGATTGCATCGACCGATTATTCAGGCCGCTTTCAACCGTTTCTATTTTACTTTCAATTTTTGTCATTTTTGTCGGTCAATTTGATGCATATTGTTTGCTACAGGTACCTGTTAGAATTTATATCAAACGTGTTTGTTCTCAATTTCAACTGTTTCTCGCATAATTTCGTCGTCTGCATTTTTTCGCTTTGACTCGGTCATTTATCAAGACCAAAGCTTCTGCTCTTCACTAGAAAATAGCAACACAATAAATGCTTTTCGTCGATTGTTTTACACGTTGCCAAAATGATGTTTGGCTCGTGTTGTGCGCTCAGTCTAATTAAAAAATTAGCGAAAAATTCATTATTCACAGGTGGTTCTTGTGAGCGCACTGGCATTGGTTGAGTAAGCAACAGATTTTCATCATGAAAATATAGATGTGGTTATATTGTGAGTTCACGTGTCGATAATATAATCAAATTTATGTATTTCTTTTCTTGTTCGCCCACTGTTCCGTGTGTCACGTCATTCGAATACCTTTGCGGTGAAAATGCTTTTTTACAACAGAAAGGAAAATATGAGCAGAAATGTCCGTTTCGATATAGGAATAAATTTGAAGACGATAAAAAAGTCAAGTTCATTGCGGTGCGACGAGGATTTATTGTGGATTGCGTTAAAAAGTATGACTGGCCCGGTCGTCACACAATGTATTATGTAGTTGTTCAGTTCATGTTCGTCAATTTGTATTTCTTTGCCTTTTACGTGCAGATTTCCTGGGTTTGCACGTAATGTATTTGCCACTGAACTGTGTGTGGCTCAGAGAGAGAGAGAGAGAGAGAGAGAGAGAGAGAGTGAGAGAGAGAGAGAGAGAGTGAGAGAGAGCCACACTTTCACGTACATTGTTCGTCAGAATTCCGCAAACATCGAATCAGTCGCATATGAATCAGAATTTACGTAGACATTATTTTTAGCAATCGTAGCATTTCATTTTCACGCGATTTTATTTACATTTTTCAGAGCCCACTTTTTCCCATACATTTCAAAATAACACTCAAGAAGTCTGATTCGAATTGGTGCCAAGTAGCAAGCGCTGAAATCACCGTTCGTAATGAATTCATGACGTATTTTCACTGATTTTCTTCTGAACAAAGTGAACTTTTGCATTCCTCAATTCGTTTTTGGCAACAAAACATCAGCGTATAGAACGCGAATATTATGGAAAATATCACAACCAAACGCTAGTCGTTCATTTGGAAATTTTCATTAATACTGGACTGTTGGCCCTTCGTGTGAATTTGCTGTGTGTGTTTCATTTGATTATTATTACATGTAAATTATAGCACAAGTGGCCCATTTGAAATGGGTCATATTTCAATTGGCAATTTGAACACTCGAATACCATCATTGGTTGACCGTCGTATCATAAAAGGCAATTATTTTTGCGGTATTTAATTTTTCATTCGTTTGTTGTACCCCATTTCAATTTCAATGTGAAAATGAAAATTAATTGCACTGTGTTGTGTATTAGACTGGTTTGAGGTATATTTTTCGAAACTGGACGGTACCTTTTTTTGCGGCCAACTTTTTTTTTGAAACAGTCTATTGTGTATGCCAATCAATTAACAATGCAATGCAAACAAAAAAAAAACGGTACTAATATGCAGTCAACTTGTTTCATGTGACCGCAAACTATATATACATATCTCGTTCATCAGATTATATAGTAGGTTAAAAAATACAACTAATCTGATCTATTTAAGCTTTTACATAGCCCATTTATAGATTCAATCGGAGTTTGAACCGATTAAAAATTGAAATTAGAGCCAATGCAAAAGCATTGCTTTGCGATGAGTTCAACGTGTCTTTATTGCTGACACCATGAGTGCTTTCATAGGCACTCAAACCTTTGCACAGAGTGTGTAGATATCCACTTCTGTCAGCAAGATTCAAGTTCCGAGCTAAAAATATTCATCATTTCATTAATTAAAATTCACGTTCTATAATAGCATATCTATCAACGCTGCATGACAAACTCGAATCGCATCTAGATAAAAGTAGAGGCTTGAATTAAATCGTTGACAGCTATTGCTGACGTTTTCGTTGATGAACTCATTTAAATTCAGGGTTGAATCGCGCCGCACCGAAAATCGGGTGAGAGGAGCAATATTGCGTATTTCGTGTCCTGTAATCAACATATTGCCGCCTGAACTGCCATCGGAAATGCATCCTTGGTGTTGTTGTTGTTGTTGTTTGTTTTTTTCCTTTTTGGCACTCAAAATTCAATTCCATCTCAACACTTGATGGCGTCTATAGATTGCACAGCCATAAATGTCAAAATTATTTGGCATTGCCACCAAAAACACAAGTATTTTCGTTTTCGATATGTGTGTTGAAGCGGCGAACAAAGTGGCACTTGGCTCAACAGAATACATATATTTTAAGCATGTTCTCAATGTGGGAAAGCAGCTCACACACATGTAACCGCTTCGGTATTGTGTTTGCGATTGATATTCCACGCTTGGATCATGCAATGTGTGCGGCGAATCTTTCAATCGAGAGATATGGTAGAGCGAATGGCACGCGTCATAGTTAGTCGGTATTACAACTAAATATTCCGGATCTTGAATGCTGTGAACGTTTTGGCGCATTAGTTTTGCACGCGCCATGCCGCAAATGTGTGAGACAAGATGAATATGAAAATATGTGCCCGCAGGGTGATGCATGGCTATCTGCTACATTTATGTATACACTGTACGTAGAGATATGTGTGGTTTTAGTGCTAGGCAATAAGAAACAATAGAACCAATTTTTCTACTTTTCTGATTCATTGCAGTAGTTCAATTACTATCTATCCGAGTTTATCGTTCAAGGGCAACATCATCTCTTTTATTCTGTAATCGCCAAATTTGTTTTCGTTTCTTTCACTTCGTTCTTCTTCTTCGTTTTGTCATTGAATTTATTTTGCACATACTTTGACTATACAGAACTTTTTCCGACGACGAAAGGCCTTGTGTGCGGTACAGCATTCTATTGATTTTTTCATTTGGAAGGATAAACGTCACTATCACTTACAGCAGAAACAGAATGCCTTTAATACACAGTTTCGTTATTCTTGGCACGACCTTTGCAAAGTACAGAACAAAAAAGAAGCACACAATCAACCGATGGAAATATTCTTGCCACTACTAGACACACGTTCAATTTAATAGATTAATTTTCATCGTTCGGTTCGACCGTTTAAAGAGTTTTCTGTTTTTCGCTCTCTCTCCGTCTCGAAAATTGGATTGCACATGTTGCACGGTGGAAAGCACTGTTAATCGTAATCTAATCATCAAATCTACATCAAGAATTTAATACTGTAAGTCGAGCAAAGTCAACGGCAGCTGTAATGTATACGGCTATTCGTTACATAGTAACACCAAATGATTGAACGGAAGCCTCACATCACAGCGATTGTAGTCGACCGGACTTTTGCTTCCGATGCCTTGACAAGACATCGTGTAGAGAGACAGGTAGAGAGTACTTCCTTCAGTTTTGTGAGCCGAAAATAAAGAGATCAAGAAATGAAATGTTAATAAAGAACGACATTCTACAATTGGCTTTTGATACGGAGAACACATACCCCAATGGGAGTGGAATTTCCATCGAGAATTTGAATAAATTTCCAAATCAAAAGCCTTGTTAACTGTCATATTATCATTATTTATACATCGACAGGCTTATGTTGCTTTGGTGCGATGTTACACGAGTGTCACCATTAAGAACACAACATCCATATGTGTGTGCCGTTCTGTTGCTGTGGCGATTCAACTTTGATCGCACTGTAGGCAAATTGCCGTGGATTATGGAGAAAGAGATTATTCACAGCAACTTGAGGCAACGAAATGGAATTGCTACAATCATGAAATCAGCACATTTTTGCAAACTCATTCAAATACTTTCGCATACAGAAAATAGCAAACAGCATGGTAATCGCGGTACACGAGTCACGTAAAGTAATAAAAGAGAGGCGACATGCTCTCTCCACCTCACAGCAGAAACGAAACGACGAAGCGCCGCAAATACCCCGTTTATTCGGCTGCAAATAATAAATTAAGTCGAATTATCGATTTATTTTAATTAAATTCTGCGTAATCGTCATTCGTATTTGTGCAACAGCAATTGTTATGTTACGGAAATGGCTCGTGGCATGCGAATCGGCGCTAATGTTTTTCGACATCATTTTCATTACTTCACTCGGTATAAGTTTTTTTTCTGTTCCTCGTCTGCTTCCCATTTTCCATTTGTCACGTTGATTAAATGACAAATGTTTGTCTATGACATGCGATTTCTTTATTTATTTACAAGGAAAAATCGCTTTCACTTTCCCGCCACATAAACCGTTTTCAAAGTCAATTTTCAATCGGTTCATTATGATGTTCGAAAACAGAAAAAATTATTAACAACATGCAAACTTGACATGTTATTAATGTTTTGCATGTGGTTTTGATCAAATTGAAACGGTTTTCGCGAGCGAGTGAGAGAGAGAGAGAATTTGTTCGTGCTATGTCTTTTGGCAGACGGTTTTACAAACTCATTTTCGTTGTTCCAAAAGGAATTCTAATAATAATATTTGAATAGTGGCACACAAGCCCGAGCACAAGCCGCTATGGTTCTTTCTCGCTCTCTCGATTTTCATTTCGGTGCAGTCAGTACGTAATTTTAGCGAGAGAACGTTCGACGCGCTCCTGTTCTCACCATAGACAAAAAAAATGTGGATGCAAAATTATACGTGTTGTGGGTTATTGTGTCAGTATGCTTTGAATAGATTTTTCAAGTGAAACTGATGTTTGTAGCGGCTGCACACATGCAGCTCACAGTTTTATTTGGATGAAGTGCACTGCAACTTAAATAGGTTAATGGGCCAAGGTGGTAAAAAGAAGCATCTAAAGATTGTGGCGATTTTTGTTGTTATCATATAAATTCAGCGGGTTTACAGCTGTTTCCACAAGTTACTACATGCATTTTGTTTTGATTTTCCATTGTGAATGGAAGAATGTGACCACAACAATTTAATTTTAACGATTCCACGGAAACCAATTACTTGTTTGCGAATTAGTTTCGGTTTTCTGTACTGCAGCAATGAATTTGTGTTGGGAAATTACTTTTTGGTGGTGAAATGGACCCCCGTATCATTTATGTGTTTTGTGTTGCAAAAACGCTCGGAATGAATCACATTAATTGCGTTTAATAGAAACTTTCTTCCTTTTCACAGTATGCCAACCGGTTAGAGCAACAAAATGATAAGATTAGCGGTCGACACTTACAACGAATTTTACAGTATACAATGACACCGTGCAGACCGCTGCCAACATTCAAACGGACCGATTGCATCGTACACAACACAGACTGTGATGAGGTTTACCCAAATTTATATGTTGGTGATGCGTAAGTTGGAACATTATACTCATCATATGTATATATGTATATATAACTAGTTTGGTGTGATTGAAAGAGTTGTGCAAATTGCACAGTGTGCAATTACGTTTTACGATATTGCTACACTTGAAGAAGTAGCGAACGAAATTCGTTTTCACAATTCATATATTCGTGTTATACAGAGCTTCAGCTAAAAATAAGGCGTTTTTAAGACAAATTGGCGTTACACACGTACTGAATACCGCCGAAGGATCACGATTTGGACAAGTCGATACAGGGCATGCATACTACCGTGACGTTCCACAAATCCGATACATGGGCTTTCCTTTAACCGACCACCCAAGTACAGACATTTCAAGATATTTCTATATTGCAGCCAAATTCATTGATAATGCCATCTCCAGTGGAGGTCAGTTTTGACGCATGCATAACAATCATTGCATTGAAGTGGAAATTAATATGACCTTTTTTCCCTTTTTGTTTTTCTCCATTTCAGGAAAAGTTCTAGTTCACTGCCAGGTTGATATATATCCAAGCGAAATAATAATTAGTTTATCCATGACATATTATTGATTTGACTGTGTGTTTTTGTTTCTCGTTCTGTTTTCGCGTACGATTATTACTTTAGATGGGAATATCTAGATCGTCAACGTGCGCCATTGTTTATTTAATGATTCATCGCAAGATGACCGCTGCCGATGCCATTCGCACAATTCGTTTGAGACGCGACATTTTCCCCAACGCTGGTTTTCTCCAACAGTTAGCTGACCTAGACAACGAGCTGCGAAGAGAGAGGCAATACTCTAATAAACACTTTTATTAATTGTTTTTTTTTTACGTTCCCACATTTTTTCTTCAAATCTTTTTATCTCTCCAGACTTTTGTTATTTATGTCATTCTTCTTTGATTTATTTGTAACGTTCTTTTATTAAAACGGTTTCAATTTACACTTTCTTTTGGACTTATTCTTTTTTTTTCAAGAAAAACCAATTGCTGAAATATTTCAATTTTATTTTTCGTTCACTTAGTCAGTCAAAACAAACAATACTGAGACAATTCTAGCAGAACAACTGCAAAGAAAACAGCAACACAATTTCAAAATGCACTTTACGTTACGATGCATATTAAGAGTGCTGGCGGAAAAGTAACCCGTTGATTCCTTATTTGTTATATCTTCGATTTAATTTTCTATTGTTTACTACCATAACCACTAATTCACGCACATGACATTTAAATTTTTATTACGTATGTTGTTTTTGTAAGCCAGAAAAGTAAATCGTCGGGCTTGTGTTTTGTTTTCGTTGTAAATATTGGCAAAACCGATGAATGTTTGCGTTTATTTAAAGTTTTAGTTCAAACACACTTCAGCTATATGCACACCGTTGCTGCAACAGCAATACACCACAGGCGATCATGGTGGCACCGATTGTAATGTGTAGAAACATACATTGTAACACACAGGATTTTACTATCGGTGCCACAAGGTATCGCTAGTGGTAATGCTCTTGCAGCAACGGTGTGGCTATATGTATGTTTTCTGACTTCATTTGTCAAAGTTGATGAAACGAAAAAAATAATCGGGCGCAAAATATATATGAATTAACTTGCTTCTGCTATGCAGCACCAAACCAAAAAAAAACAACTATCGATTTGTTTTTAGCATAATTTAGTTAAGTGTGCACCAGTATTTTTGCACAAACTAAACAGGAGAGCCTCCTCTTTCATATTAACTACGAAAAGCCAAAAATCAAAGGTCAAATTGTTATTTTTTAAATTATTCTTTTTTATGAAATAAAAGCCCTAACCAACTTAAAAAAACGCAAAAAAATTTAATTTATATATTTTTCTTCGTGAAATCTTCAACATCGGATTGGTTTTTTTCTTCAGTTCAACTCTCACCAAATATTATTGACAAAAATCAAATGATTATTCCTTTCCCGTTCCGCTTCAATCGGAACATTTTTGAATCAATCGTCAGTCAATTCAAGTGCGTTCAGTTTTGATTTTTCCGTTTTCTCTTCAGTTTACTTCACGAATTTGAAATTTTATTCGATAATTTTTACTGTGCCGATAGTATACATATATTCGATTTGTTTATGTTTGTTATTTTCCATTTCTCTTCTTTTCCCTATAGGCTTTACTACCGTGCCTTAAGCCACGGTCACATTAATAATGTTTTGCATTACGGACGATCATATACACCAATGTAATCGAATTTAAAAACACACACAAAAAAATCTTTTTCAATCCAAACACAACCAAAAATATATACACAAAAAGAAAATGAAACGAAGCTGAAAGCATCACAAACTGTGTGCTTTGTTTGTTTCAACACGAAACCATTTTTTCTACTATTTGTCTGACATATGACGAAGTACAAAGTTCTTTTCTAAACGGTGAAATAAAGAGAAACACTAGAACAAAACAAACAAATTTCACTACATTTGAACTGATAGAATGATGATAAAATTCATGACGTTGCAACACAATCGACCAAACTGTTGATATCACGCGTAAATTACATTTCGAATGGTGGGGGTAAAGCGAATTTTAATAGATATTTTTTGCCTCTCTTTTTTTTCTACTATTTTTTATCGGAATGATATTCCTTGTACAGAACTTATTCGCTAGATGTTGTGCATATTTTCTTTTAACTTTCTGAACAGATTCAGTCTAGCATTTCTTTGATAAAAATTTCTTCTGATTTTAATTACGTGATATTTTTATTTAGAAATTCCCTTTCTTGGATAAATACAAAAGAAATCCATAGAAACAATGATATCTATAAATAATTACCTTTATCATTCGGTTTATTCGCTTTATTATTATCAGATCCACGCATCTTTAATTTGTGTAAATATGCTTAATTCAATGGTTTTATTTTCCACTCAGCGCTTTGTATTATATGGGGTCGTTTGTTCAATATGTATTTTCTGTTGGTATTAATTGGAATTTCTGCTCGTTGAAATTAAGGCACGATTGCATTAGCGTTTAATTTATCTGGTAGAATACGTGCAAGTCTATTTTTGGATTTTGTTTACATAGAATTATTCGAACTGGCTGATTGATGCATGGCTCGAAATCGTTGATTTCGATTTCCAATCGAATTTGTACAGACAAAATTAATCTGTTTATTTAAAAATGCGATGACGCATGTATCGAAAGCTTTTTATTGGTTTTCAGTGTCGATTGCATATAAATGTCTTGCATGTCCGTGTGAAAATTTTGTGACTGAGCTGGCTATTACTGACTAAAAGTGATTATCTCGAACAAATATTTTACTGTAGCCAACTTCAGTTATAGTCATTTAGGAGCCAAAAAGTCCGAAATTAGACGACTGGCTGAAAGAATAACTAAAAGTGATTGTTTCTTTACAACATTTTTGAAGCCAGTTTAAGTTATTTGCAGCTACATACAACTGAGTTAGTCACTTTATTTGCACACGGGTGTAGACAGAAGAGTATTTCAGAAAAAAACGTTTATTGCAACATATTTTAAATAAGAGCATCGTAAAACACTCTGATTTATGAGTCATGAAAAAGAAAAAAAGAAAATAGTAGAATGAAATATGAAAATAGAAAAGTCGGATATTTCGAAATGCAATCCGTATTTGAAAACCGTCCAAATTTTCTGTTAAATGGCCACCAGTTGTCTAGCAATCAGAATATATTAAAATTCGTATGCAAATGAAAACAAAATGTACATTTAAAGTAGTATTACACGCATAGATATATATATGTGGAAAGTACAACATTGTGTATATTCATGTCTATTTTTGAGAATAGTTTTAATGTTGTTGTATTTTTTGAATTGTAGAGATTTTGGTGTTCTTCCATATATTTTTGTCCTCCCCTTGAAGAACTAATTTTAAGTGTGGAATTTGCTTTTTGTCGTTAAACCTTCGAATATTATTATTTTTTCATTTTCTGCAGAGCGCCCGAAATTCCACGCACCACCGAATTGGCACCGATGGATTATGGCAGGAAACCAAAATTGGACCGGGTTGGCCGCATAAAATCCAAATGCTATACTGCATTAATGAAGGACTTGTTTTTCAATCGATAGACACACCAGACATTATTGTACTGTGTTTTATTTTTTCTATCACGGAACAATTCCAGAAAGAAAAACGTTTCAAAATTCTTCATTTTGAACCGAAAATGATTCATGTGTTTTACTTTTCTTTAAAATGTGCAATTTCTAAAGCAAACAAAATGAAGCAAACACTTTTTTCTCATATTTCTTTCATTTTTTGTTGTGAATTTAGTTTCATGTATTCAATCTAGTCTCTAAAAAAGCGTTAATCGTAAATATTAAGAATTATAGCCACGTTAAGCAAATATATCATTTTGTGTTTTGATTTTTCGTTTTAAATAAATCTGTTGTGAGATCCACGGATTGGCACATTTTGGCGAACGATACACATTTTGTGTAGTACAAAATAAAGTAGGTCGATTGATCGGCTATATAAATGTCATAGATGACTTGTGCGGGCTCGTTAGCTTAGTTTTAGAGAAACTTTTGTGTCCTGTGAATTTTGTCTCCTCTAAGTTGCACATCACGTTTTTGTAAAGGACTTATCACCAATTTTACTCTCTCCCAAAAAGCTTGGGTTGACCTAAAGTTAGCAATTTATCGGTTTTTGACGCCAAATACAGTATGGATTGATTAAATCTTTTTGTCCATTTTCGATTCATTCGACCCTGGATCTGTTCAAATGGAAAAATTGATAACTCTAGAATACCTCCAGACTTTTGGGAGAGCATAAAATCGGTGATAGGTTCTTCACAAAAATGTAAAGTACAACACAGGTAAGACAAAACTCTGAAAAAATGTTCCTCTAAAGCTCACGATCACGCACAAGCTATTTTTCATATTTGTAAGTCGTTCAATCAAACCGCCACACAACACCCAACGTACGATATTTTGAATACAAGAATTTTTGATTCTTTCGAAGAAAGAAAAAGGAAGTTAGAAAATAAAACATTTAAAATCAGTATAGGGGAGTGTACCCGGTTGTGGGCACCGCTTTTTGTTTCAGCCATAACTTGTCACAGAATTCATATTATGCAGACATTTGAGTATCAATGGAAAGCTAGAGGTCTAAAGAAACGTTTTGGTGCAAAATTTGCATTGATTCCATCACTCAAAAAAATTTTGTGACCAATTTTCCAAAGTGTTCATTTTTGGCCAAAAAAAAATTTGTACCCGGTTGTGGGCACCCCCAAAAAAATCGATAAAAATGAGTAGAAACCACCAAAGTATTGAAAAATATTGAGTAATATCAAATTTTATTAATTATTGAAGCCTTCAGGGGCAAAAATGACAATAGAAAATGGCACTTTTTTCAAATTATTCATCACTTTCTTCGTCGTCCAAATCAGTATCGCAATTTTTGCAAAATTTATCGACGTTGGTCTTGCTAAACGCTTTTGCACGATTGAGCGACGTTTGTTCGGGTGTACGCAACACAAGCTGACGGTGGTGGCGCATAAAATTGTAATACCAATGACGACCAGCCATCATTTCTTCATCCCAATTCGCCGGATAGTCGACGGCGAGTTTCTTGACAAGCTGATAAGCCAATTCACGCAACTCGGTTATGCTCAGGCCATAATAATGGTTCACGCATTTCAAAATGTAGTCGACAAGTTCCTTTTCTTGGGCAGTGGTGAAAACCTATTGATAAACGTCAAAAAAGAACATTAAAAACAAAGCACATGAGCAGGAGAAAGAAATAAAAAACATACCATATTAGATGGCGTACGTTGACCGCAGTCACGAACAAATTCCGTCAATTCATCATCTGCTACGGCTGAGAGGTCTTCATAATTTTCTTCAACTTTCTTCAGATAGCGTTGCAAACTGCTACGAGGAAGATCATGGGACCGTGCAGTCGTTTTGATTTGCATCTTGTCGATCAAGCAATCCTTAATGGCCTTTACCAGGGCATTTACATCAATTGCTTTCGGTTCAGTTGACTTTTTCGCAGTTGACATGGCTAAAAATCCATAAAAATGAATTAAAAACCCAAACAAATAACAAAAACCACGATATATAGCACTCTCTAGCTCAAAAACATGTGTTTCAAGCGAAAACAAAGAGTGCCCACAACCGGATACAAACGGGTGCCCACAACCGGGAATGGCAACCATTTTGAAAGTGAGCATAAAAATTTTTCGGTGATCAACAAATGCTCGGATACGGTGTTGATTCATATAATTTATCGAAAATCCTACACTTATATGCATAAAACTCACCTTTTTGATGTTTATCACTTCACTTTATAACACTTCAAAAAAAAATCTGAAATCTTCTCAAAGTAAATTTTTAGCCAATTTTTTTTCCGATTTTCGTAAAACATCAACAAACGCGTCTTTTCACTTCGGTGTTGTAGCAGAAAGTGATGGACTGTCAAAATACACAATCGCTCATACTCAGATTCGCCATTTTTGGAATCTGTCAAAAAAAAATTGGGGGTGCCCACAACCGGTGACTGCCCACAACCGGATACACTACCCTATGTATTAAATTCCACCAAATGTCACCAATTTTGAGGCATTTAAAATGCTATTGATACGGAAGCAAAATCGATCCGCCATAGGTTATGCGGGAAGTTCTGGCTCAAGTTCCCCAATAGTCATCCTTGTTTTCATTTAGATCGATATCACGTTCTAACATAAAACATGAAAAAGGTTAGGAATCGTTCTTTAAACCACTCAAGAAGGGTCTAGTATATAGTCCGTATGAGCCATTCAAAACATCTATTGAAATCATTTCTCTTGAATGAATTATTCTAAGATATAATTCAAATATCTTTTATACGAATTTTACCCCAAGATTGATTGTTTTGAAATTACTATATGTATATATATCGGCACCAGTGTCAACGATACATGGAGTACAGCTACGTGATTGTTCATACCATTTGCATATTTGATTAGCTTGGAATGAACATGAGACTTTCGTCGCTCGATACACAGATACGAAACAAAAATAAAGCAATCCATTAAAATGGAACATGGAAAAGAAATCCGTAAGAATGAAACATAGCATGTGCCGTTTTAAGGATTTCGCTTTACGGTGTTCCGTTTTGATAGATTTTTTGTCTGCAGTGTAGTTATGAACGAATCCTCTCGCATTGTTTCATATGAATGGATCTGTAATACACTAGTGATTATGAATGAACGTAATTTCTCGTTACATATCTCATTACGTTCATTCATATTCGCTATAATGCAACGTTGCCGAAACCTGTACGTTCTTGGTTTCTTACTGCGCACTTCTTTTCTACGGTGAAGCAGACTGCTTTGTTGATGTGTATAACAATACGGGTAAAACACCGGCGCTCCGAGGTTTTCATACAAACTTCCCATGTAGACGATCCGAAACAGACAAAAATCGAAGAAAAAAGTTTAAATTTTTTTTCGATTCTCATATAGTATTTTTTTACCCAATCCATTGGTGTTATCGCCACATCGAAATTCGGGCTCCTTATCACTTAATTTGCATCATGTGAAATGCGAATGACGTCATCAATAGCTCGGGAATAAATTGAAATGAAACACACACAAAAATATTCGAGTAACGAAACAATGTGATACAGATCCATTCATATGAAACAATGCGAGGGGATTCGTTCATAACTACACTGCAGACAAAAAATCTATCAAAACGGAACACCGTAAAGCGAAATACTTGAAACGGCACATGCTATGTTTCATTCTTACGGATTTCTTTTCCATGTTCCATTTTAATGGATTGCTTTATTTTTGTTTCGTATCTGTGTATTGAGCGACGAAAGTCTCATTTTCATTTCAACCGCATCATTTATAAGTTATCAGCAATATATCATTCTAGTCGTTCGTCAAACAGAAAAATCACCAATTTTTTTGGGTTTAGTGTGTTAAAAATATGCAGCGTCATTACTTTTTATCTTCATCAACAATCAATCCACACGCTTTGAGTGCGTGGAAACTATCATTTATATGTACTTCTTTCAAACATGGAATGCTTCATAATTTTTGTTAAGTATATTTAAGCTTTCTTCACACACACACACACACACACACACACACACACACACACACACACTTAGCACAAGGAGACTACTTGAATACATAAAGAAGAACCTCCTAACCGTTGTGAAATTCAATTACACACATATAGCAAATTGAATGAAATAGTTTCAACACACTTCATTTTCAATTATTCATAGAAAAAAAATGTGTTATCTTTTGTTGTTGGATCTGTTTAGCCTTCAGCATGAAACATGCAGAAAACGGACATCCATTTTTATGTTCCTTCGGCAGATGTTTACGAAAATTTTCTTTTCAATTAACAAAGTTCATTCGGTATGAAATTCCTAATGCAAATCAACACAAAACAAGAAGCACGCTTGTTGTCATTTATCTCAAGAAGCGATTTTTTTAAAAATGAAATTTCTCGCATTGAGAGGATACAATACTACTTTCGGACGAGGGAAACAAACATGTTTAAAATATAATTACAACAACAACAAAACAACTAGTAGAAAAATGAATTTTAATATAAAAATAATGAAACGTTTAATACAATGCAAATCTGAAATGTTGTACAAAATTTGAAGCAGAACATCTCATTTGTGAGATATCTATTTTATTGAATAAAAGCGACAAATATATTGGAAAACTGAAATGCTTGCGTTTTTTTCCTCAGAATTCGGTTCTAGAATAAAGTAAAAAGGTTTCCTCTTCTTGACAGGTAATTCAGTATGAATGTGAAAACGTTTAACATAGTAAATGATTTCAGTGACATACTTCCTATGGCAGTCGCGTTGGCTGTAGTCTCATTATGAGCACTTCCATTTGAAATGATTTCATTGCCAACGTTTTCAACTGAATTAGTTTCATTGTGGGCATTGTCAACAGAAGCAGTCCCATTAGACACGATTTTTGAAAAGTCAAAGTCATTACAATTGTTAGAATCACATCGCTTGCAATTTGACATTTTGTGCGCACAAAATGTACTTACTTCGCTCAAATCACTCATGCATCCTCGATATTCGATTCCGTCTGTGGAAACAGAAGAAAATCGTTAAAAGTGTCAGTAAACGTCACATCCATTGAATTCTAACGTCTTTTGAATTCTGAATGCAATGAAGTACCTGCAGACAAGTAGGCATAACATTCATCTTTATCGGCAAAAATGCGGCAGATTTTGGATTTTTCTTTGAAATCTTTACAGTCTTCTCCTTCGCATTGATAACATTTGAAACGGTTTTCGGGTAAGGTCACACCGTTGCATAGGTCATCGTAACATATTTCTAATGCCTTCGGAAATTGTCTTTTATCGAATTTATCATTAGAGGTGATTTGTGGTGTGATGCAACCACGATGAGTGAATCCATTTCCATCGATACCAACAAAGCAGCTACTTGCATATTTTTGGCAGAATATAGTATCACTTGACTTCGTTTGACAGGACATGTCTTCAGTTCCATTGCAACTGTAGCACTTTTGCTGAATGCTAACTTTTTTGTTGCAATTCGCTCCATTACAACTCTTACATTGGCTTGTTCCACTCCGACATTCGAACTGTTTTGAATATTGCAAGTTTCTAACGCATCCTCTTGTTATTTTCCCATCGGAGCTATCAAGATAGCAACCATCAGTATTCTTTAATGGATTAACGCTACACGCTCTATCTTTGATTTGTTCAGGCTGCTTACGGCATAATGGGTCAGTACTCGAATCACATACAATACACGTATCCAAGAGGTGATTATCATTGCAGACATTTTTGACGTGATTTGAACAAATGTCACATTGTGAATTTGAGTGGTAACATTTTCTGATGAAATTTTCGTCTTTGTCAGCACAACCTCTTTGCACTGTCTTATCATCGTTGATAAGGGTGTAGCACTTATTTTCATATGCGGGACACACCTTTACTTGAACCGCTGTTGTATTTGAAACACAGTTCGGATCGGTTTGCGAATGGCAGATCAAACATTTGTTCAATGTATTTTTGATGTTGCAAGTCTTTCCAAAGCATATTTTACAAGACGCATTGTTTGAGTCGCTACACTCCATCGTTTCATCCCTTGTCAATTCATTTACGCAACCTTGTTTGAAAAGAACATTTTTAGATTGGTGTTTGAATATTGAGGGTAATTTTAAAAACCTTTTCGATGAAGAATGCCATCATTTTCCATGTGAAAACATCCCGAAGGTTTGAGTGTCAGAGGACAAACGGTGGAAGTAGTTGTTGTGGTATTAGGTTCATAACTAATGCATACTTCTGATATTATTGGACCGTAATTGCATCCCGAACTTTTTCAAATACCGAAAAAGAATGGTTAGAACACACTATAAAACATTTAAAACTATTTTCTTAAGTCATACCGATGTGAGCAAATCGAACATACAGTTGGATCATCACAATATGAGGCATCAGGAATGATTTTATCACCTACACAGCCTCTAATCACAGTACCGTCTCCAATGAATGTGTAACATTTGCCAGAGTGACTTTCGCAACCTCTAGCTTTCGCCAAACGGCCAAAACAATCCAACCCGGTTGTATTTGAATTGCATGAGTAACAACTCAGTTTTGGTGATACATTGGCATCGGTAAATGTTCCAGAATTTGTGACAGTTGCAACGGTCGTTTGTTTACTATTCGACTGGGTGTTTGATTCTTGCACATCGTTTTCCACGTTTACACTTTCAAATATAATTACATTGGCTGTAAATAAAATGAATTCATTTAATTGGATTCCAATTGAAAAGATTAATTAAATAGGGTTAAATGAATGATTATGAAAAAGAAAAATTACCTAACGTATTGACAGCCCATAGGGTGTGGAATAAAAACAAATATTTCAAGCTAAAATTCATTTTGGCTTCCGAATGGAAAGAAGACTGTGACTAAGTAGACTGATGGTACGAAATTAATAAGTAAGTCTACAACTTTCAGTGTTGAGTCAGGTCCTTCTTTGTTGCAATCTTACGCAATACGAAACATTAACTGAATGGTGGCTGTTCTATGTGTTGGACTTTCGAAATCACAGTCTTTGTGCTGATCTAAAATTGCCGTTAGAAATTTGTCAACACCTTTGCGGAAAATGTGAATGTGATCATTGCTTTGAGATAGGCGCTTATCATCAATTCGACGAAGAAAAAATCATCAATAGCCTAATCAATTTGCACCCGTCATAACTGATCAATATCGAAACAAAAAACAAGAGCACTTTTCAACAGTACAAATAAACAAAGTGAACCAACAGACGTTACGCATTTAGACGACCCGAATAATTTCGGGGAATTTAGTTAAATGCACTTTCGATAAGATAACATTCAGCAAATATTTGTAAATACTTTCGACTGTTCGATACAAATTTTGCTCAATAGATAAGAATTGTCATTGTTGACAATTTGGCACGAAATTGCGGTTAAAAAGAAAAATTCATGTTTTCAAGTGCTCTTAAGTCCGAACACGTAAATTGAATGATTCAAATATTAAAATCGTAAAATTTTTTTGTCATTTCTATGGTTGACTCCACATTTTATTTGCAATCTCAAGAAATACATTTCAACAGAATATTATTTTCTATCCAAAGTGTGAATGAATGGGGCAACATTGTTGACAGCGCCACGCCAAAGCGGTTGCCCGGCCAACTACAGTCAGTCGTAACGCAAAGTGGCACAAGCATGTCCCATTTTCTGCATACAATCGTTGCTTTCATACGCGTGTGTATGCGAAAAATGGTACAAGCTTGTGCCACTTTGCGTTGCGATTGACGTATGCTTCTGATTGAAAAATAACCAGATTAAAGTTAACTAAAACCAAATGAAAAGTAGATTCAAAAAAAAATTAGAAAACATATTTCCTAAAAGAGTACCTTTTCTACTTATATTTGGCAAAATTTTAAAAAAAATCATAGAGTTGGTTTCGCTGCAATAAGACTTTGAAATGGATTGTTCACAATTAATTTCTACTTTCGTTCTGACTAAACAACAAAGTCTTGTTGCAGCAAAACAAAGACTATGATTTCTCTAAAACTTGGTTGAATATAAGTAGAAATTATACTTTATTAAAAAATATATCTCTCAAATTATTTGGAATAAATTTTCATTTGGTTTTAGTTCATTTTAATTGGTTTTTTTTTTCGAATACAAGCATACGTCAATGCGTTGCAGTAGTAACCAAGTGACAACCAACGTGAAGTTGGCTGCGTTGCCCGGTATGCATTATGTTCACCCTTTGTTTCTATCTAAGTAACCCAAAAATAACTGCTGTAGCTAACGTTACGCCAAGGAGAAGCGAAACTTTGACTTTTTTTGCACCTGATTTGTCATTGCAACCTGATTCATCGCATTTTTGGCAATTTGAATCATTTTTTTCGCAAGATTTCCGGCTATCCGTCTGATCAGTCATGCAGCCGCGATAGACTTTTCCTCCTGAAAAAAAAAAAACAAATCATTAAATTACATTTCCATCAAAAGTTATTCAAGTTTAAAATAACACAATTACCATTCTCGTAATAAGTGTAGCACTTTTCCTTATCGGTGTAGATCTCACACACTTTCGGCTTTAGATTTTGCTTCGACTCTGGTGTTTTAAGTTCGCAATCACTGCCACCTTGACACTGCAAGCATTTGAGACGATGTTCGGGGAAAATGTGATCGTTGCAAGTAGTTCCGTGGCACATTTCATACTTTTCAAATTTATCTTTTGCCTGCTGCTCAGTCGTGCCGCAAGTTCGATGTGTAGCTCCATTTTTATCAATTCCAACTAAACAGGAGCTCGAAACTTGTGAACAGTCTGCAGTGTTTTGCAATGCTGTCGGATCAGCACAATTGACGTCCTTTTCATTACTGCACTGAGAACATTTCAGCTGTTTGACAACCATTGAATTGCAATTTTCCCGAGTACATATTTCGACATCGTTATCCGCCTGGTACTGAGCTCGTGTTTGTTCATCCAAATTACTCATGCAGCCTTTTTCAATTTTACCGTTTTTTTCCAAATGATAACATCCCAAATCTTCTAATGCCCATGCGCATACTTTTGAATGTGTGTTGGTCATAATGATTGGATCAGAAATTGTGTACGTGGCTTCATAGCATTTCAGTTCCTTTAGCTTATGGTTATTGCACTTTACTTGATCGGAACACAAAATGCATTTGCCTTTTCTACTTTCGCAATTCTCATTTGATGTGACGAAACCGTCATCTTTTCCAACACAGCCCCTACCTAAAATTCCTTTTGCATTCACATTAGTGTAACAGTATCCAGTAGAACACGAAATGACTTTGTCCGGATTATCAGCACAATTACTACTACCACTACCATCCCATAGACATTGGAAACAATCCGTCGCCTTTCCACCATCGCTCCTCACTGGATTTTGTATACATCAGAAAAACATTTGGTCAACAAATTGACAACTATTTCACTGAAGTTATTCTTACCAAATGCACCAAAATTTGAAGCTATAAAAACTAAAAAGAAACACAACTTCGCACTGAACCACATTTTCAACGTTCTTCAAGAGAGAGACTTTATTTTCAAATGAAGCTCATCGTACAATTCAGTGCCTTATAAATAGTGTAACATTCAAAAGACAATTTTGGCAGAGGTGGTATTTAGGCCCGTGACAAACGTAATCCCATTTGGCGGCACTTTATTGAAGTGAATTATTCTACATGCAGGTTAATTCATTTTCTACAGATAAGCTGATAAACAATGGTAAAACGTAAAAGTATTAACGCATAATGCGTTCGCATGATTCATGTCACCCAAAAGAAACCGGATCACGATCTATTTTACTAAAGCTTTTTACGAGTTATTTCTCAAGGTTAGGGTAAACAAAGGTATTAATTGGATTTCCAAGACATTTATCGATAAAATATTATTTACGCGTGAATCGATACCGTGTGATTCACATCGAAAGGCTAAAATCGCAATATCAATTTGAAATCATTCTACTTGTATTTCGGGAATTTTTTTAGTTGTGAAATTCGCAGACACTTACTTGATTAATGGAATTTCTACGCGAATGAAGTTACAAAGTACGGCCAATAGTCCGATCAGCGTTTGAAGACACGTGTTAGAATTGGCAGACGATTGACCGAAAATTAGGTCAAGTTGATTGTTGCATCCGCTGAACTCACACTTGTATCAATTTGAACCGCTCTCTTCGCATTTCGAACGCACTACCGTGGAATCGGTTGAACATTATCGATAGAATTGACCATCTATAAAAGGGAAACAGTGCTGAAAGTCTAAGACATCTGGTATATACTAATGAAGTATCGCCAATTTATTCTGCTGTCTATGTAGCGCTGCTGTAGAGCAGTGGCTGTCAACAGCAGCTGTTGGTTACGTTCTTGTGCATGAGACACACTGTAGACCTCGCGCACTAACTCTAACAGGAATGACCAATGACCATGCACGCACGTAATATACACATAGTTCCATCTGCATGTATTAGTTGGCGCGCGGGGCTCAGAGTGTGTTGCATGTATGTACAAGAACGTAACCAAAAGCTGCTGTTGACAGCCACTGTTCTACGCTGCCTCGAAAACCTTGACTTTGTATTATCATTGGAACCATTGTCGATCTATTTTTCAGTTCATTCTATAATAAATTATTGATGATTCATGAACCAATGGTTCTGTCGACTTTTGTTGAATTTATTTGAAACAATGGCTATGTCGCAGGCTAGTTTGTAATTTTACGTAAAAACGCATTCCAACTGTGAGTCTTTGTTGAACAGAATGTTTTGTTTATATTGTTTACTTATACACTTTTTTGATTTTGTAGCGCTTGATAATGGAACACCGAGTATCTCCAAAACGTCGCAACCAGAAATAAACAAATTATCGACTAAAACTAGCCTACTTTTATTACTTATCGGTTCTCTCGGCCACCATTCTTTGCAGTAAGAAAATCTGTAAATAACAAAATGTGTTCTTTGCAGATGTACAGATTTGAACTATCTGCAAAGAACGTACAGTACACCCCCGCAAATTAGAAACGAAATGCCCCGAGACCATTTCCAATTTGCGGAGTTGTCTAATTTCTGAGGATTTTTCAATTTCATCCAAAAACGGTGTATCAAATGAAAAAATGGTAGGGGGAATGATTTGCTTAATTGAAAATGATATATTGAACACTGTTCAATCAAGTATTGTATGTAAATACATGCGATTTTAGTGATTTTAAATATATAGTAAGTCTGTTAGTTTATTTTACTGGATAAACTACTCCTCGGAACAAACCGAAATTAATGATGACCGGCCGCTGGAACAAATCGGTTTCGATTTGTTAATGATTGATGATTGACGCAGACAATATGGAACAGATTACTTCGTGACTTAATTTTTAACTTCATGGTAAACGTCAAAAATCTCAAGCTGATCTGCTAATATATTTATTCAACGAAATGGAAAAGGCTTTCATTACGTTTTTTCATTAAAAATGAACTAAATTTCCCTTTGTCTTGAATGAATGAAATTTGTCTATGATGCGGAAACCCCGTGAATCAGAAATGAACCCCGGAAATTAGAAATTTTCCATACAAATTTTCAAACCTGAAATTCATTTCTTATTTCTGAGGTTTTCTAATTTTTGGGTTTCTAATTTGCGGGGGTGCACTGTATTTTGTTATTTGCAGTAAGTAAACTGCACTTGCAGTAAGTTACTGTAAATAACAAAATACGTTCTTTGCGGATACTTCAAATCTGTACATCTGTAAAGAACGTATTTTGTTATTTACAGTAAAATTTTACTACGCGCGCGCGTACATTCCCTAAAGCCATAAATAGGCTGAAAATAATGATTAAACAATCAATTTATGCAATTGAAATGCTTATTCAGCATTTTTGTTCAACACACTCATATCTTGGATCCGAACAAAAAAACATAAACAAATTGATCGATTGATGCTAAAATCAATTATTGAGAAAAAAGGCTGAAAACGATGCGACAGCATAAAATTCACGCGTGCGCGTATATTCCCTTAAAGCCATGAAATTTCACTGTAAATAACAAAATACGCTCTTTGCAGATACTTCAAATCTGTACATTTGTAAAGAACACATTTTGTTGTTTACAGATTTTCTTACTGCAAGGAATGGCGGCCTCTTATCAGTACCGCGAAAAATGATAAGAGGAAACTCGCGTTTTTCGCGGTTATTCACATAACTGCTAAGAGATAACAATTTGATGTCTTGAGCAAAGTTGTAGTACTTGGTCTGCTCTACCACTTTTTAAAGACACCCATCACTTATCTTTTATCAGTCGCGCAAAATATGATAATCTCAAAAACTCCATCCAAGACATCAAATTATTATCTCTTATCAGTTATGTGAATAACCGCGAAAAACGCCCATTCCACACGAAATCAATCAAAATTCACATGAGGCTAGGGGATTCACGCAAACTCAAAGGCCGAAGATTTTACTGAATAGCTGGAAATATAACCATTTAATGTGTAAACTATAGATATTGCTTCTTTTTATTTATAAACTGGGAATATCTAAGAATTTTTTGAATCTTAAAATTCTGGGAGTGGGTTTTGGTGGATCCTCAGGATTGTTCGAAACCGCTCCTGGTTCTGGTAGTGGGTTTTGGTGGATCTTCAGGATGGATCAGACTGGATTTGACAATACCCTGGTCCATATACTCATTACTTGGTAATAAAATGTGGTAATAATTAAAAATAAATGTCGAACGAACGAACGAACAAATTTTTTTTTTAATTGTCGAACGAACGAACATTCGGAGTCATCACTCATTGTAACTGTGTTTCCTATGCAAAAAATGTGATTTTGTATGAACCTTTCAATCGTTTGAATGTTTTGAAAGAAATGTCGATTTAAGACGAAATTTGTAGGTAAACCGATGTTCAAGTGTTCGGAGACTCATGTTTTTTTGGCGAAAAATTGTAGTTATCTCAGATGAAAATGTCATAAGAGGCCATTTTTGGCCAATTTTCTAACAATTGTCTAATTGAAATTCATGGCAGTCGAAAATTCGAAAAAATTGAAAATTTTTATTATGTGTAAAAAAGCAGAATTTTGCTAAAATTCGACCATTTTTGATGCTAAATCGAAAAAAAATTTAAAAACCGCCACTTAAATGGGGGGTAAATTTTCTATACTCACCCTGAATGTTTGATAGCCCAAAAATCGGGTCAGGCGATATCTAGGGAGGTACATAAAGTGTAGGCTGGAAAGCATAAGGCGATAGCATGAATGAAAATGTGGCAGAAAAAATCAGCAAAAGTCTTTAATGTTTCAAACGCTTCGGATGGATGGCGCTGTCAGAAGCTCTCTGAAGCACATTAGAAGTGGTGAATGTGATTATGACAGATAATATTTGTGTTCACGTTTAGAAACGTTGACTGTCAAAGTAAAGAATGTTCTGTCAATATAAACCAAATAACCAACATGGCGGGTTAAAATGCTGTCATGGCGGATCTCTTTCTCATTAAACTACACATGAAAATATGTCAAAAACGGCTGGGAAAATCGGCAAAATGGACCGTCTCGGGATTTGGCCTGATCCCAGCACTTGCCCTGTGGTGGAATTCCATACAAAACATGAGTGTGACTTGTAAAGATGCTCACAGGAAAGGAAAAGCTGGGAATCAGACCAAATCCTGAGAACCTATGGATCAGCCCGAATCCACTGGATTTGAACTTTGGGCCATCAAACCAGCCGGGTGTCTACACTCCCTTTAGGGAGTGATACCACGGTCCATTTTGCCGATTTTCCCAGCCGTTTTCGAGATATTTCGATGTGTAAATATTTATTGGTTTTAATTTACCACTTAAGAGGTGAGTTTGGATAAATTAGCAGAAAAGCGTATTAAAGTTCGAAATATTCCATCATTCTAAGATATTTTCACTAGAGGCGCTCTTACAAAAATCAGAAGCAATGTATTTTTTGTCAAGCTATCGTATTACGCTGGAAAGGGCTCTGTGATGCAATACCTTTGTTTTTGCTACCGAAAGAAAATTTGTATTAAAAAGGCGAACACATCAATTCGTTTCTGTGTATGTTTATTGGCACATTTGATGACAGTTTTGCTTTCGTTATGAATTGTGGTTGATGTGAGGCAATGTTCATTCGATGCGTGTTTGTGTGGTGGAAGCGTGACGATTTATTTGGTGCATAAGGGTTTGGTGCAACGACCATAAAATATATGTATTTCATCAAGTTTATCAAGCTCATTCCAAGTTTATGCATAGTGTCGAATTTTTGTTCAAGCTCTACCATCTAAATGTACAATAAAATAATTTACGGGTACGGCGTTAGATGGCGTTTTTTCTGGTCAAAAAAGTTGCAATATCCCTTTGATTTGGTGGAACGGAACAAAACGTAGTGAAAATATGCGAATGTTCGTTCAACGCGAGTAGCGAATCGGTCTATGGCAGAGCCTGGCTTCAGGCCACCACTATTGTGGCGCTCGTTGCGGTAGCCTCGGTAAGTAGCGTCGTTGCCAATGGTTGTCAACAACCCTTCGGGAGACTGACACATTCGAAATTGTGCCATTTTAAACATAACCTCAAAGTTTGTTGTGTCAAGTGCAACGCATTGTTTCCCGTTGTTAGATATTAGTGCAATAAAAGCTAAATTTTTTTATTTGCGTTTTTTTGATA